TTAGACAATTCGGATCTGATCAAATGGCACATTCGCGACCTCGCCGGATCGGATGGTACTGTACCATCTGTAGTATTCCGTATCCCTCCACCAGATCCTAAGCTGACAGCTTACCTGAACCGTCTCCTGCAGCAATTCGAAAAGCTGAAGAAGTTGTGGGAGAAAAAACATCGTATGGTTCGCTTCAACATGGTGCTCAACACCATGAAAACTATTCAGTACGTCGTTATTCGTTTAGCATTTGGCAGAGGTGTTTCCATTTGAAATGAGGGTCTTTCAGAGGTTGGGATCTCGACACATTCAATGCCATAGACCCTGAACAACGAGACGCAATTATGCGTGCACTGAATGACGACGCTAACAAGTTACTGGCCGAGATGGATCCAAATGATCCGTTGGCCTTACGTCTGAAGGAAGAACTAAGACGTACAAACGAACACTTCTGGGATTTGCTGAATGCTAGTCAGAAACCACCAGGTAATCAAAATAGACTATTTAAAGGGGCACTAAATATCACTGAGATTACTTGCAGAGCCCGACCACTCAAATCTCTTCGATGGACAAATCGGTGAACTCCTCAGAAAGCTGGAAGAGGCCTGGAGAAAACTGAATGATAACGCAGGAAAGCCCATATCGCGAACTCCAGCAGAGCTTGAAAACGTCATAATGAACCACAAGTCGTTCGAAGACGCTCTGCAGGTAACTAATAAATTCTATTTCTTAAATTGATCGTGAACCCTCATTTTCCATGAACGCAAAGTATTTGAAGAAAGGTGGGACTACTTCACAGCGTCTGTGTCTCTTCCCCATGTCAAGGCTCAGGATTAGTGCGCTGACGGTCAGAGTCGCCGTGGGTTATTTTTGCAAAGCAGGCAGCCTCCAGGTGACTCGGACGGTCTGCGCTCTGAGTCTAAGCCTTGACTGGGGAGGGGACGTAAGGGTGCTGTGGAGTGGTCCCACCTCCCAAATATTATACTTTAGCGCTGTGTGTTCTGATGAACGATAAAAAGCGTTGTGATGAAAATACCCTCCTATGAAATTGTCGCTTTTCAGGGCTTGGACGCAGATGTTGCCAATGTGAAAGAGCTCTTCCGACAGCTGCCCAACCCAACCCCTACCCAACGAGTCAACAACGATAGGCTCAGTAGCCTTTGGGAAGATCTTTGGGACTTGTCTCGCATGTATGTAGAAAGGATCAAGGTAGGATTCAATTACTTACCAGCAAGATGATGTTACTACAGTCAATTAATAGGTCCTGGAATCGGTCCTGAATGGAATTCTCGAAGTATCTGACATTGTCAAAGCTCACGAGATCACCCTGAACTCGTTTGATGACCTTCCGGCTGCTCTCGATAAACTTCGTGGGCATCACTCACAACTACTCGAAATGAACATGGTCCTTCAACAACAACAGTCTGTGATCGACTCATTGAACAAGAACGTGGCTCTTTTGAGACAACACGTTGCTCGCACTCGCATCGGTCAGAGCAGGTAATCATTTCAAGTATGGTCTCGACAAGATTATAAGTTCAGGAAAATAGGGTAAACAGAGAAGCCCGAAAATTGAGAGTGAAATCAAACGCGTCGGGCCGTGAGCGCACATAACTGAGCTCCTCTTATGATCACATCGCGAGTTTTAGAGGAACAGGTGAGGTAGAGTGAACCGGCTTACGGTATGCTCAGTCGTACACGTTCACCGGCAATTTTCTGGGGTGCTGTATACCAACCTTGCCCTTTTCTGAGCTCTCTTTTTTGCAGTCATCCTGATGTCGACAGACTCGAGGACGAAGTCCAACAGTTGAATGTTCGATGGGAAAACGTCTGCTCTCAAGTTGCAGAGCGTCTCAAGGCTCTCTCAAGTTGCAGAGCGTCTCAAGGCTGCAGAACGTGCTCTGCAGACGCAGATGGTTTACAGGTTCGTATATATGGGGTTGATTTTTTTGCAAGGGTTGCGACTCATCCACGAACTACGGCTTTTATGAAAATTTCAGCTAGCAAAAGTAGGGCGTAATTCAGCGACGGAGGGGAGGGGCATTTTGCACTTTCGCCACCTACCATCAACCCGTCGAGCCATCAAGTGGAAACCTGCTAAATCTTGTGGAGCCATTGTTGGCTCGAGCCTGCTCCAGCTTGACAAGAGTTCACAGTTCTCACCAGAGTGGGACTTGTAAACGGAACCAAGCAGCAAAAGTGCCAAATGCCCCCGCCCCCACGTCGCCTAGTTGCCAAAAAACTATACAAACTGGTTTTCCTTTGATTTTTTGGATGTTCGAGTTTGGTGAGGTACCTACAGCTCAGCTGAGGGTCAAAAACCCATACAAATCCTTTTCCAGGAGCGAATACGAAAACGAGATGGCATGGCTCGACCGCGTGGAGGAGACGATTAACAAGTTACGAAAACCGGAAGAATTGCGTCCGGAGCAATACCAACAACAGCTGGATCTCCTGGTGGCCGAATACGCCCAACTTCAAGAACGAACAGAAGCCATCGAGAATGTGAACAGAGAAGGTGGCAAATTTATACGAGAGGCAAAGGTACTGATGATCATTTTTACTTCTGTGCTGCTATGGACGAGGTATATGTGGTTCAGGGCTATGATAGCCGTATGGGACAGTTCCATGACAGTATTGTCGGGATACATGGACCGGCTATCAAGCAGGAGTTCCGTCGAACTAAGCCCCAACCCAAGAATGGTGCCCAGATCGTCACCGAAGAATTGGAAGCCCTTAACAGACGCTTTGCTCAGTTGAGCAGTTTAATCCTTGAGCGGCGCAACACGATGCAGGTTCTGATTCAGAACTGGAAGCGTCAAAAGCAGGTACGTGCTATTATTTGGACTTATTATAGTTAGGAGTAGAACACATGTTTCGGCGGTGCTCCCTGCAGAATCCAGCAGTTGCTCCTCCAAACGAAAAATACTTGTACATCTTTTAGGGAATCGCCGATTCAAGTGTTGTCTTGAACAAACCGTAGTAGTAGTCCTAAGTAGAACGGAAAATCACCGCTTTCTGTCCACTGGGACGGTCTTGGCAATTAACCACTGTGCCGCCCACATCACACCGACTCCTGTTACATATTCGTTCGAATATCCTAATTTTCATTTGAAATAATCCAGCCAGCCATCTGCCTTTAACTGATTTCAGCTATTATGCTAGTCCTTCATACTTCAGACTCCCACTAACTGCTCCTTCGCGGAGTGTTTTCAGGTCCTGTCATCGTCGTGGCTGCAGCATTAAGTGCAGCTTGTGCTAGAGTATGATAACGGAGTGTTGTGTGCTGTGACAACTAGATTTCAGTTTGGTGTGTTTTTGTGGTCCGTACCATTTCGTTATGCTTGTGGCTGTTACCTGCCCGCACACGGTCTTTATTCACTGCTCATTGTTATGTGTGTGCTTCTCGCTTTCACTCCAGTGACACGTGCGGCGGGGATTTTCCGAGTGCTTTGTGATGACATGTCTTTTTGCTGTGACACTAAACTACTAAATGAACTCGGACAGCGCCCTTTACAGGAAGAGGAGGACATGAGGAAGGCTGACGAGGAAGCTAAACGACGTGCGTTTGAAGCTGCTCGTCTGAAAGCTCTTGAGGATGCCGACAGGCTTAGAAAGGAGAGAGAAGCCGCTGAAGCAGCAAGACGTGCTGCCGAGGAGGCTGAACGGGCCAGACGAATGGCAGCTGAGCTTGAAAGGGCCAGATTGGCCGCTGAAGAAGCCAGAAGGCGCGAGGAAGAAGAGAGAAAGAGAAAAGAGGATGAGGAACGACGTCGACGGGAAGATGAGGAGAGGCGTCGGCGAGATGAGGAGGATAGACGTAAACGAGAGCGTGAAAGAGAGGACGAGGAAAGGCGCAGGCGAGAACGCGAGAAGGAGGATGAGGAGAGACGCCGTCGTGAGGAAGAGGAACGCAGAAGGCGCGAAGAGGAGGACCGACGTAGACGACAACGTGAAAAAGAGGACGAAGATCGACGCCGTCGAGAAGAAGAGGAACGCAGGAGGCGCGAGGAAGAGGAACGACGCAAAAAGGTTGGTGTTTTACTTTGCTGAGTGAGCCGCTCCGCGTTTGAAGTGAAAATCTAATCCACACTAATCAACCAATCCGCACTTTTAGTTCATTTCTGCGCTCTTGGTTTAGGTATTGATGTGGTGTGACCATTATATAGATATTATTGTTTACAGATGCCTCCTCTCAACATTGTGCAAGGTAGCCAGATCCATGAAGTGGTTGGCCAAGAAAATCCTGACGAGTTTGAGGTCATTGGAGATCTGCCTGGTGTGGCCAAAATCACTGAGCATGAAGATGAAATGCAAATGTATCAAGAAGAAACGGTAACAAAGACTCAGTTCTATGAAATGGAGGGAACATTGCACAAGCAAACCGGAGAAATCCTCACATTCGTCGAAGCCGTCCGCCAAGGACTTCTCGATCTCAGTGCTGGCGGTGGACAGTTCTTTGACATTCATTCTGGTCGCATCAGTCTCGAAAAAGCTGTCGAACTGGGTTACATTGACGGCACTTTCAACGATGTCCTCAACACTCGATATGGTATTCGTCATCCAGAGACCGGTGCTGAATTGACTCTTCTTGAGGCCATACAGATTGGCTTGTATGATCCTCAAACTAGACATCTGTATGACATCCATACTGGCGAACTACTTGAGTTGTACGACTGGGTTGCACGAAGGATTGTTACCATGGATACTCAAAGGAAGCTCGTCAAAATGGGTATCCTAAAACTGCCACCTATGGCCCTACATAGTGCCATCGACCAAGGAGTTCTCAACACGGTCTCCGGTCACTTTGTTGGAAAGTATTCCCATGAATCCATGCCTATTAGAGATGCTCTATACCACGGCTACCTACAGCTCGTCTCACCGCAACAAATCCCAATGATAGCCATCACTTTAACTGAGGCTATCAAACAGGGTTTCATCAACGCGAATAACGGCGAGTTTGTTGACAAAAATACGAAGGACACGTTCACGTTGAGGGAAGCTTGCTCCAAGCAATTCGGCCTTCTCAATTTATACATTCCCGAAGTCGTGAACACTGCGGATAACACTCGTTTGAATCTCAAGGATGCTATGCTACGTAACGCCATCAATACTCGCAACGGGAACTTTACTGATTTGCAGACACGACGCACGTTGTCTCTGCGAGAGGCATATCAAGATGATCTTATCTCGAGACCATATTCGCTCACGGAAATGTTCGAAAAGGATCTCATCGATTCAACTAATCACTTCATCGATCGTGGTACAAAGCACAGACATACTATTCTCGAAGCCATTGCAGCCGGCCTTCTAGACGCTGAAGTGCGTCACATTGTTGATCCTGACGAGAAGGATGTGATTTCTATAGCAGAGGCAATGGAGAGGGGAATACTTAGCGCCGATGGAAAAATTACTCTTGAAAAACAACAAAAGGAGTTCACCATTCCCGAAGCTGTTAAGGAAGGACTTCTTAGCAAGCGGGTTCGTCATAGTATATTCGATGTCCGAGGCATTCAGAACACACGCACTGGTCAGACGATGAGCTTCAACGAGGCCTGCGAGGCTGGTGCTATCATACCAAATGCTGAGCGTGTTGTCGACCTTGCCACTCAGGACAGTTACCTGATATCCGACCAGAAAGCGACATCAATCATCGACCAGACTTTGCATGAACTTCTTGTCAAACCCATCGGAATCCGAGGTGATCGTGGTGATTACGATTTGAACCTAGTTCGAGCTGTATCGAAGGGTATTGTTGATCATACCAAAGCTGTCTTCTTCAACAAGAGCACAAAGCATGAGATGACCCCTCGTGAGGCTTATGACGCTGGCCTCGTCAGCCTTCGTGGAGCTATCCAGGCTGCTGCCCTCTTTGACGTTTCTCCATCACTCATCGCGCCAGTGAAAAAGGTAGAACACAAAAAGCGGGTGAGTCGTCCTGGACAGCCTGGAATGGAACTTGCTTCAGACCAAGTGAAGGTTACCCTCGCAGAAGCCATGAAGCAGGGACTGATCGACTCACGAAACCAGAGATTCCGCCAAGGAGACATCGACATGAGCCTTGACGACGCCTTGAACCAAGGCCTCATCGACCCGTCGAGCGAATGGATCGTTCCATCGAAGAGTAACGGTGTTGGTCCCACTATCGAAGAAAAGACAACCGAAAGCGTCACTGAAACTGGACAACAGTTGGCACCCAAATATTATCCTGACAAAAACATCGAAGAGTCAGTAACTACTGTCAAGCGTGTCCGAACCACAGAGACCACAGCTCTCGGAGGACCTGGTGGAGTCTCAGTGTACAGAGCAATTACTGGCGGCAAAGGTGCGATGGAAGTACCCGGAAACGGCTATCACATCTACGAAGCAGAGCGCAAGGGTATCATAGATCTTACCACGGGTAACATCACTTCGCCAAATGTGGATCGCGCCATTTCTTTCGCTGATGGCATTGAACTGGGCATAATTGACGCATCTTCAATTTCTGTGAAGGATCCCAAGTCTGGACGTATGTTGAATGTCAGAGAAGCTCTCGAAAAGAAAGTAATGGAACCTGACGGGTCAGTATCACAGCATGGCCGGACTTTGAACATTGAAAAGGCAGTTGAGGCTGGTATTATTGTCATCGATGCTGAGCCTGTCGTACCTGCAACTGGAGTTCCAAAGAATATCATTGCCATACCATCTGGTGGAGGCCCTGTGATCAGTTTCCGTCCTGTTGGAGTCCCTGTTGTAGAGGAGTCTGAGCAGTCATGGTCATTCGACTCCACGAAGGGCGTCCTTGTGGATCACATGTCAGGAGAACGACTGACTCTTGAACGAGCTCTTTTGGCTGGAAAGATTCAACCCGAGGATCTTGCTGTTCGAGATGCTCTTACTGGTCGTGAAATGTCGTTCACTGAAGCGGAGAAGTGGGGAATCATTGACAAAAAGGGCTACTACCTGGACAAGATTGACAACAAGCGTTTGTCATTCACTGAAGCCGCCCAACAGCATCGTATTTATCCCACTGGAGGGGTACTTGACAACGCAGGAGATGCGATTCATACCTCTGTGAAGATGCAGACAAGAACGCAAGTCGCGAAGAAACAAGCCACCTCAACTGGAACACCTCAAATAGAGAACACGCTTGGCCGTGCACTCAGCTTGGGATGGTACAACGCCACTGATGGAATGTTCACCCATCCTGACACACATCGTCAGATGACCCTCAAGGAGGCCATTATCAAAGGACTGTTCAATCCCTACGATACTTCTGTAGTGGACAAGAAGAACAACAAGAGGATGTCCTTGCTAGAAGCCATTCAAGAAGGCATTGTTGATGACACTGCTGGCACCGTACTGGACACTCAGACTCAGAAGAAGCACGACTTGAATTCAGCCCTCAAAATGGGTATTTTGGAAGGGAAGAGTTTCGGTGACTCCCTCGAATCTGGACTGTTTTCTGGTCGTCTTGATCTGGCTACGGGAAGTTACACACAGCCCAGCGGTACATCAGTACCCCTTCATGAAGCTCTGAAGAAAAATCTAGTGGACCAGAGCTCAGTCGTTGTGCGAGATCCTGCTAGCGGAACTGAATACTCTTATCATGAGGCTGTTTCTCGTCGAATTGTCGATCCAGAGCGAGGTCTGATCCACAACCAGCAAACGAATGAGGCAACTAGCTTCCCTCAGGCCCTTACTACCGGTCTAATTGCTGGAGTTGGCTCTTCGTCTCGCCCCTCTCACGCTGCTCACAAAATTGTCGAGCAGAAGCTGCAGCTGACACCTTTTGCACCCCAACAAGTCGTGCAGCGTCGTAACGGCGGCGATGGTCGTCACGAATACGTTGATCTTGGTGGAGGAAAGCAAGTGATGGTAAAGGTGGTCCGGGGAGAAGGTGGCGTTGAGAAAGGAGAATATGTGGATCCTTCAACGGGAATGAAATTCACGATCCAAATGCATGGTGATCCTTTTGTAACGGAGACAAAAACTACTGTCAAGAGCACTTCTCAAGTTCAATCAGTGGAGCTTGAACCCCATGCCGAGTTCGTAGGAATCGACAAGATCAGGGATAAAAGAAACGGCCGTACCATGTCATTGGAAGATGCGAAACGGATAGGACTAGCTCGTGTTGATAAAAAAGGCAAACAAATGACGAAAACATACTCAGTGTTCCGGTCAAACATCCAAAACGCCCTCAACAATGGTGTGCTTGATGCTCATATGGAGAAGATCAGTTTGGAGGATGCTATCCGAGCTGGAATTATTGACATACGCGAGCTTAGCTACAGAAATCCCAAGTCTGGCGAATCTATCCCGCTCACACAGGCCGCCAACATGGGTCTAGTGGACGTCACGCTTGCTGAAACTTTGCCGAAAGGTGTCTGCAATCCAACCAACAACGAAAGGATCCCTATCAAGAAAGCAATTGAAATGGGTATCATAGATGCACGAACGGGTGAAGTCCGGGATCCTCACACCCGAAAACGTCTTACTTGGTTGGATATCATCAAGTCAGTCTACCAAGCGATAACCAGCGATGGAGTGTTTGATCCCACCAAGGGACAGCGGGTTCCTGTGACGCATGCCCTTAATGAAGGCTTGATAGATCCAAAATCCGGGAAGTACCACAACCCTATCACAGAGGAATATATTGAACTGAAAGATGCAGTAGATCGTGGCCTCATAGATAGCAGTACCTACGACGCCTTAACTAAGCCATTCCTGGAGGATTATCGAACAAGGCGGCGCTTGAATCTTGTCGAAGCTGTAGAAGCGAAACTCGTTGACCCAAAAAATAAGACCATTCAACTTTCCCGTCACAGCATTGTTCCCATCGCCAAAGCTGTAGAAGACGGCAGAATCCCTAGCGAGATCGGGGAGAAACTCAGGCAAATCGACAAACTGAACTTCGCTGAAGCCCTTGGAAAAGGACTGATCGACGTGACCTCGAACATCTTCACGGACCAGGACACTGGACGTCAAATGACGATTGCCCAGGCTATTGAGCAGGGTTATATTGATACAGGAAATGTGGAAGCTATGGAAGGATCGGATGAAAAGAACCTGAGCAATATCATCAATTCTGAAGAATTCGATGAAAATTCTGGTCGTATCCGGGACAAACGAACTAGCTTGCACCTGACTTTCAAAGATGCTGTGGAACGTGACGTGATCGATGGCGATTCCTTGCTACACGACTTGGAAAGCGGTCAAACGCTAACCCTTAGAGAGGCCCTTGTACGACGAAAAATCGATAATGATGGCAAATACATTGCTGGGAACTTGAAGATGACATTGAAAGATGCAGTGAAAGCAGGTCTCATCGCTTTGATAGCCTCACCCATGCAGGCTGCTCAGGCAGTTGCTGAGGCGGTCAAGCGGCGAGATGCTGAAGGCTACAAGTTCAAAATCGAGAACTATGGGGGCGACAGTCGAGGCAGCAGAACCAGCGTGCCTAAATTCCGGGAGGAGACAGTGGTCCGGCTCACGCCACAAAAAGCTGAACCCTCCCTCACGGTGAGGATGCGTCATTCTCAGACGAACATTGGAGATCGTGCCAGGAGCATCATTGACGATCCTTCGACCTTGGCCGATTTACAGCACGAATTCCTCTCAAATCTGGAAGCTAGCCGTTTTGATACTGATGAGAAAATCATAACGAATCCTTCTGGCGGTCAGAGGCTTTCTGTACGCGAAGCGGCTGAAACTGGTCTTCTTGACGTCCTCACTGGTGAAATAGTTGTACCTGACACCGGCCGAAGGTATTCCATACCCAAGGCTGTTCATTTGAACTATGTACAAGGCGAGGCTGCAAAACGCTTGATGGAATCCCTGAATATGTCCATCGAAGAACTCAATCTTGCTCAACAACAGTCCACTCCCTCCCCAGGAGGAGGTGGGGAGGGTGGATCGAGTGCAAGGACCTGGACAAAAACGGTTAATTGGCACGGACAGCCGTCCGAGCTGAGGAAATCACGAACGGATCCCCTTGCTCCTTACACTACCTATTCATCGAGCGTAACGGAACGAGTACAGGATGCTCCTTCCTGGGCTCGCTAACTCAAAACTTTCCACTCACAACCATCTCAGATGCACCCCGTACATTCTATTTCACTTTTCCAACCTCAATAATGATATCCATGCATATTCACTTGTTCGACGACAGTCATTGTTTGAACCACACCATAATCGATTGGCATATGACTTTTCCTCCATAATATGTGAAGTTCTATATGTGATTTTTTTTCTCACTTGCATGATTCACTTACCACTGTATATGACTTGACTTTTCCTTCCGTTGTGCCGTAACAGGATCGCTCAATCTAGTTTGTGTATATCTATTGCCTTATTAGAGTCGCTGTATTAGATGGTTTTCTTTTTGTTTACCACACTGCCTTCCCATTGTATAGTTTACTACAAAATTCATAAATGAGTAATAGAGTGTTTATGGTATGTTCCAATGAACTGTTTGGCATTAAAATGAATTATTTGTGCACGAAATTAAAAGAAATGTGGCAGTTGTCCCGCTGAAGGTGAAAGTGAAGTGTTTGTGCTGACGTTGAATCTAAAAGCATGGTTTCATGATACGCATGAGTTGTGTCAAAAATACTCAAAAATTCCTCTAGGGCGGATGGTTGGATGGATTAAAGGTCCACAGTGATAAAGACTGAAAAGCGATGATTTTATGACAAGATGAACAGATACCTCCATGTCTCGGCGTTAGAGGGGTGTGGCTACATATTTCGTTTGAACGAGGCGGGTGCTGCGCTTTTGGTGCCATGCCATTTGGGACATTTGCAATCTGTCCATTTGTCGTGCACAAGGCAAGGTGATAGTTGTCTCAGAAGGAAATATCCCACTAAAAGCGTAGTCTACGCTATGCTCGAATGAAGCATGCAGCCATGTCCACCTCATCTCCGGCCTATACAGTGCAGAGTCTTGTTCGTTGCGGATGATGGGGCGTGTCAGATGGGTTGAACTTGTGCGGTGTTAGCTCTTTTTCCAACAGTTTTTGAAGCGGGCAAACAAGAAAACGGTGCCATGTCGTTTGTATCAGTCGTTTTCTAGGAATATTGCCGCTTTGTTGCTTCAGCAATTGGTGGAAAACGGCTGGCCCATTCCCTCCTTCTCCTTGCCATGCACGAGTATCCGCAACGAATAAGACCACAGTTTACATTGGTAACAGCATTATGAAAGCTTCAGGAGAGTGTGGCACGAGAAGCAACGCAACGACAAAACGAATTATCGGACATCATTTCGGAATTGGCAAGACTCCAAGAAAACATTTATACACAACATCTCAGTTTTGATCTTTGTCCAGAAACAGCTACAAACGCCCACAATGATGTGCAGGTCTGTTCTAAAATGCAAGGTGAACTGGAATCTGAGAAACTTCGAAAAGAGAAGCAGGGCAGAGGTCCATGTCAAAATTTTATGGAATTCCTGAAAAGAATTAGTGGAGAAGAGATACGATAATTTTATCGTCGAACAGTTATGTTGATTATTAATCGTTGTCTGATGAACGTGTTAGGCTTAGGCACGCAATTCTGGTAAGTATCTTAAGTATATCGAAAAACTGAGCGGCTATCAAGACAGGACCTGTCGGAAGTGTGTCTAGCGCCAAGAGGCCTCAGAATACCCCACGACCACTTCACGTAATGCAGGAGGTCAAACACATGCCATTCTTATCGCAACAAAAATTTTAAGGTAACACTGAGATAAGCCACGAATATTTGGTTTCGTTCGGAAGCAACAGCTCTGTCTTGAAGGCGGAGCTCACGATGAGCTAGCGAAAAGTGCATTGGTAACGGTGTTAGAAGCGGCAATATGTGCTAGTTGACTTGAAGAGAAAAAGGAGGGGGAACCGTTGAGACCGATCCAAATAAGATCCTGCCAAGCGAGAGACAAAGAATCGGTGTGGTATCGGGGGAGGTACCAGATAAGAACAGCTTTATGAAGAAGGTGCGGACGAGCAAGACAGCAGAGCAAGGCATCTGTCAAAGCATGTGGGGTCACTTGAGCCAACCTTCGCTACCTTACAACCTTCTGAGGTTGAACTTATACAGGAATGTCCGCTATAGTCCACACTAACTCTCCGTGCGGAGTGTTTAATAATTATCGGTGATCAATGGCTCCACTTTCAGCGGCTATGCATAAAATAGTCCAAATGTTCGCGTTCCGTCGACCGGAAATTACAGTTGGGTGCCGGCGGAGTCGAGAGACTTCCACATACATTCAAAATTATCCTATAAAACTAAAATGCTGCTCGTATGTGCTCTCTCGACCAATATCCCAAAGTGTTTGCCTGTCGTCTGAAGCAAAGATAGCAGCACATTCGGAGCGTGTTGTACGGTTTCTTCTCTTTTTCGCGGAGGAGTCGACTAGGTTCTAAGCCGCCAACAAGTGCATTTTCGATGGCTAATCATGAGGTGTTCCTTTGAAATGAGACTTGCTCCTACAAAATGAGGCTTGGACACTGGAGTGTACCCTGTTGTATAGAGATGATGTTTACAAATCGGCGGCGTGACGTTCCGAAAATGAGTGGACTCTGGATCAGATCACAGACTTACAACGGCCACATATTGGGTGTGAGACTTTCAGTAAGTACATGACTCAGACCCATGCAGATGGGCCCTAAATGTTCTACACGAAGTGGTTCTCTTCGGTAAAAGGCGTACTGAATACAACAGGGTGGTACTTCCTGCACGGTCAAACAGCTCCAAATTCCCCATGCCATGTGAAGACGCAGCCGATACAACAAAGCCTCAAAAGCTTCTGGTTGAGTTATAAGCTTTTGACGTTGCTATTGGATTATCCTAGAGATGGGATTTCTCGGCAACCGGAAAAAAGGGTCGTGTTCCTCGCGACATACATACGAAAATCCGCGTCACTGCCATTATGGAGCAGCAACTGCTACTTTGATCCAAAAGTGTTCCACTACACTTCACGCTTTCAAGCTGTGGTTTGCTGTGGTTTTTTTTGGAATTTCCCAAGCAAGTTCCACAGTTTTTGAAGAATAAGCATTGCCATGTGAGGTGGAACGATGTCATAAAAATGAGGAACAAGTCGAATATTGTGCGCCACATGTAAACCACTACTTGAGTATGTACCTGAGAAGTTATAAGAGAAAAAAGTAAATGGAACGATTTTGAACGAATGAATCGATAAATTATAGGAGAATCTCCCCGTGAATCAGTTTTATTTTGATGATGGCCGTTTAGCGTGGCAGCTCGTGCTCCGCAGGTTATCACAACAATTTCGAGTTGTAGGTAAAAGCCTTGACCACAGGCATGTCTCGACCTTGCACGGCTTGCTTCCTGGGCGCGTGCGCTATTCGTTGTGCCGCATCAGTAACTCGTCGCGTGGAATATTATAGGCTTGACATTTAATTTCAGTGTCCTGGGATAGACTCCGGGAAGATGTTGCAAGAGATTCACGAATTCAAGGACCGCAATGAGCTCTTGTGATGGAAATTTAACGTGAAAACTGGGGATGATTGGGAGACGGTGGATGATGGTCCCTCTTGTTTCACTGCATTTGTCACTTTGAAGGCAGAGTCAGCGGTTACGATTTATAGGCGGTGGTGCTCAAGTACGCGAGTCAAGAAAAAGCAATAGAAAACCTTGGAAATGCATCATATAAAACCCTAGGTCCTTTGAATGCGACGAAGAGAAAGGGTTCAGCATGGCCAAACATGGAGTCGTACATGGTCGCTGAGTAGGGGGGATAGTATATGAAATTGATACATAAAAGTTTTCCCAAGCCGCTATAAAAAAGTTTCTGATTGGTGTAACTGTTATGCCATAATTACGTACGTAGGATGGCTGAAATTAAATTATAATTGGGAGGGACCCTCCTCTCCTTTCCCCATCCCCTTCCTTCCACTCGACATCCGGGAAAAATGGAAAATGCTTTGGAAAACTGGAAAAGTGGAAACTGGGAAGATGGTAGGTAGGATTGAGGAAGTGGGGTCGGACTAAGGAGGATGTTTAAGGGGAAGCGTCTTATTGAAATCGCCATTTCACGCATCACGATGCGGTAAGTGAGTGTAAAAGGGAATGTGATCGCGGATCGCATCGGCTTGCGCAAGGGAGGGCTTCTTCACTTTTGGTAGTTGTTTCTTGTTTGGTGGCAAAGTGATCTCCCCAACTCGCTTATCCTTAGTCGCCGGAGGGTGGACAGACCTCTTATTATGGGATTTCATGGGTCATCATAGAGATCTGGACAGGCTCCTGAGGAACGATTGAAAGCAGAGAGATATACCAAGCGATATGGCAAGCCGAGGCATCCCAGAAAATGGGTGCTTTTGCTCAGAATGAGCACGTTGTTCGGTGAGAGGAGTGGTTGAGGTAGAGAATGTTTGTATATTTTGAACAAGAACGATGAGCCCTACTTGTGGCGGCTCTGAACTCCCAATGATAACGTTGTGCAGCAACGAAAGTTGGTTTTGAGTCGTTGTCAGCACCGTTGCAGGATCCTTAAAGTGTTACATGGTGATTCCCTCATCTTTATATTTCATCAGAAAGAGGGACCGAACTCTGCAATGCCTTGTTAATATTGCCCTGAAGAATGTAAGTCAAATTCTTCAGAATATCAAAGATTCACTGGACAAGTGGCGAAGGGAAGTGAAAGAAAAGTTGGAGGCGGTCGACACGTTGTGCTTCGAAGAGGCCGATTCACTCTCTCCCGAACAGCACGCTTTGCTTCGTGAAAGGCGAAATCAGTTGACCATCGACTATGACAATGTCGTTCGCGAGGTAGAAACTCTTCACGGAAGGTAAGTAGTCTCACAGAACTCCGGAGTGAACGCTATGTGTTGAGAGGCGCTTTAGGGAACTAAGAAGGGTATAAAGTTTACACCAATGAATTTACGAAGTTTTTTAGCGGTTATGTAAATGCGTGCGAAGAGCAAAGTCCACAAAAGAGTTCCGCCCACCCCACAAGTTACGGGTTGAACTCAACTCATGTTTTTCTTGAGCCATGAAAGACATATCATGAGGTCCTCGTTCTCTAGCTCTAGATTCTCAAATTAATTAAAAATCAATTGCGGGCATAGTTTAGCTGGGGGGGGGCATTTTGCACCTTCGCTACTTCCCATCGTTGTGTCAAGATAATGAGTAAAGGTCTGTGAAATCGTATGAAGTCATAAAGTGATGTCAATCAAAGTTTATAGAGTTCACTTGCCAGCTGTCGAAACAGTAATTGAGTTGAACACGACGATGAGAAGTAGCGAAAGTACAAATGCCCCCCCCTCTCGCCTTGCCGAATTGCGCTTAATTGCGTCTAACAGGTAGGAATTTCGCGCTACTTGCAGCCCACTTGGTCCTATTATTGCTTGACGTGGAAAATGGCTTTTTCCGTCAAATAGAGCACTTCATAAAGCAAGCGCAGGGTCAAGAAGATCTTCCCCAAGATTTGCAATGTCCATTCCCAAGGAACCTTTAGTGTGCCCATTAGATTCGTAGCAACCAGAAGCCACCGGGTCATCGGGATGCAAACAAATGGGTGCGGTCACTGTTTTTATAGGTGCTTGGGTACTGTAGATTTCCAGTGCATGATTTGTTATTCAACCTTGCAATCCTATTATTTCGGGTTGATCCTTATCTCAGCGACGCGCATACTATTGTTATAATTTCAATCAGGGTCGTGGTCTGCACTGCATCATTTCACATGTTGTTGTCGGACTATCGATTTCTGAACCCATTCTGAACCCAAGTTTCTCAGACTGAACGTCCTCGCCACTCTGTTGATCGAATTCTCTTCAAAATCCTCGTCTCTGCAATCGTGGATGACCCATCAGACTAGGGCCATTGGCTTGATTCGTGAAAGATCTGCCGAACTGCATCATCTCAGCGAGGTATTCCTATTCGTTCTTTCGTTGGCCTCAGCCATCAGGACACATCACAGCAATGTGAAAAAATTTCTGCAATCGTACGTGTGAATCCTCGGTTTTTCCTGTTTTGAATGCGCTATACCCCAACCCCCCCCCCTCCTCGGCAGCCGTTGTTCTTTTGCGGAAAAGTGAAGGAGTTCTTGGGAACAACTTTGGAAAAACAGGTGGGAATCTGGGGAGATTCAGTAAAATTGTTGGCAGGATGGGGAAGATGGTGGTATTCTGTTACAATTTTCCCTAAGGGGCAGGAGATGTCCTGCCTTCTCATCTTACCAGCTTCTGAGGTGGTTTTAGTATTATAACTGCTGCTCAGCCGAAAATTGTTGCAAGATTTTTGAGAAGGCAAAAATCAGACCCTATGCGGGATTTGAACCCGCACTTCACGATTACCGGTGAGTGCGCTATCCATTACACCACTACCGCTCAACAAGTTTTCCCAAAATTTTGCCATCGGTCGAGGTGGGGGAGGGGTAGGGTGGTGGTAGACATCTGCGATCAGCTGCCAGGGTTGATATTTTCACCGCACTGCCAAGTAAAACTAGGACTGGAGAATGCACCGCTCCTGAAAAGGATAAAAATAACGATCAGAAGGAATTCCTCCCATGTAGAATACAGCCCGGCGCTGATCGAGTTGAAGGGGGTATTTCACATTTTCGCTAATCCCTTTTATCAGTCCATGTTGAATAGTAGGTTTAATCTGGCGAAACCAGTAAACTTCTGTGGAACTGTGAAAGATGCCAGTGAACCATTTCGGTCACAGGAATGCAGGTCCTCACAAGGTGGTCTGCACAAGTGTGACTGAATAAAATCTGGTGCCCTTGCTAAGTCACAGTGCGCTCACTTCCTCCAGCACCCATGAAGTCGACCTCGCGCTGTGATTCCCACAAAAGATGATGTGTCCTGTTGGAGAACCCAGTCGTTCAAATCTGCCTTGAAACCCAGTCGTTCAAATCTGCCTTGCTTTTTACCTTTAGTTTTTTTTTCTGTTGCAGGCCCGCCAAGATGCCAGACGTCTACTGGACGAAATCACCCAGGAAGAAAGCCGCCTCAAAGCCATTGGGGCCATATTAGCAAAGATCGAACAGGAGGTTGATGCTTTGTATGAAAATGCGCCAGCTACGGTTGCTCGTGGAATTCACTCCACGGAACTGCGCAACACTTTCAACGTAATTGACGTGCGTTTCCATGTTTGACAAGGGCGGGGGCATTCTGCTCTTTCGCTACTTCCGATTATCTGTCAGGCCATTAAAAAAAAGAGGTTTTTGATGTTCTGTCAAGCCGTGAAGTGATACCAGTTGAAATTTATAGTAACTTCTTGTGTCAGCTCTTGTAAAGGAAAATCTGTCAACTCTTGTAACGCAATAAATAGACATTGGGAAGTAGCGAAAGTGCTAAATGCCCCTCCCCCTCCCCCAAGCCGGACTGCGCCAAAATCCCAGTTAATGTTTAAGATTACAGGATGACTTCTCGGCTCTGCAAAAGCACTGCTCCGAGTTGATACAGTTCCAGAACAAAATCGCAGGACTTGGCAGCGAACACGCGGAAAATTTACGGTAAGAGGCTCCCCACTGTGTGGATTTTCCTTGAGAAGCTTAACAACCAAGCTTGAAGACTGAGCAATAACATTTAGACGAGTTGAAGACTGGTTCTCAAAAATCGAGAGGGATCTCGACGAAGTTGAACGTGGACCTGACGCGGACGTTGAAAAGAAACTTGTCATTCTAGAAGGGCTCAATCAAGAGGTAACTTATAGGTGCCCGTTAGCTGAAGGCTCTTTAATAAGGGGTTACGTGCAGGTAGTCAATGGAAACGTGCATATAGACCACGCTGACCAGGCGTCTCGACGGCTCCTTGGCGCGCTTGATGGTCTGAGTGCTCATCCTGATGCGTCCAAAAGGCATGAAGCGGAGTCAGAAGAACGGCGCAGAAGGTACGATATTCAGCCTCAAGGCTGTATTATAGAGTGCAGAACTTAATTGGTTTAGAATATTTCAACTAAATTTTAATATTTCAGGCATTCAAAACTAGTTGACCGCATGCAGCAGGCATTCAATCAAGCAACCGCCCAAAAAGCTGCCAACGAAGGTGTTCGTGACGCAGTTCACGATTTATGTTCCTGGATAGAAGACTTTGAAAGCCGTTCTTGTACGAATCGGGATATCCCATTAATTGAGGAAGAACTGAACCAATTGGTTCGTTTCAATCTACGTGCTTTCTTGCAGTCTGCCAAATCATCACCTTGCAGTTTTTAAAATAGTATTAATGTCTCATTTTGAATTACGAAGTGCTTCAGGAGATAGTCTTTTTTCTAGAAACAATAAATATTCTGGAGTGATAGATGTTCTTTCAGAAGCGTGACGAGCAAATGCTGCGAATGGACCTTGACAGTCGGTTGTCGCTCACTAACGATCTCGAAAATGACTTGAAAAAGCTAGCTGGCAGTAATCCGCCGGAATGGGTGGAGGCTACCGAGCAAAAACTAAAGGATGCTGCTCTACGTTTGCAACGTAATAGCACCGAACTCAGGGTATGAAGCTTTGCTTTTAGATACGTACCCACGTGGTAGTCTACTGATCCGTTCATTTAGGGATTCCGTGACAATGTGAATGATGCCCTTGAAGGAGTGATTGCATTGGATGCATTTGGAGTAGCTCTGGACCGTTCTTGTGATGCGACGTCAGCGATTCTACGATCGATGAGCGCTCGTGATGACCAAGGGCTAAACGAAATCGCTTCTGAACTCGCCGCTCTAGACTCTCAGTTAACGGATATGATGAGAACTGCTGAAACCATCAAGAAAATACCGAACGTAACCAAAACACAAGCAGTGGACCAACTGGTGAGGAATTCTCTTTCAGGTCCTTTATCCCTCGGGGAGTGGGGGTGGGGACATTCTTGTGAATTCCTGTCAACCTGCCCGGGGCAATGATGCCAACGATGCGATAGGAAGATGACACCAGTCTCATTTTGGGTAGCCGGCAAGGAGCGGCTTAACACCAGATTTGGCGCTGACCAACACCTGTAGAATACGCCACGCGCTTGGCTCTTCTTATTTATCCCAAAAGCGTTCAAGTGCTTGCAGAATGACTTTCTGGGTTGCAAATAGCTTCTGTTACGAAGCGGTCGCCTTTGAAGGGAAAAGGAAAGATGGAGTGTGATATGGCGTGTGATATGACGGGATGAAGCTCGTATGATTCGCAGTATATTAATGCCGGATATGTCGATAGAAGTCCCCAGAAATACCCTAACCCCCTCCCATCCCTACCGTCAAGGTACTTGCGCCCGATTTCGATATGTTGCGGGCATTCCAAGAGCGTTCTTATTGAGATTCCAGATCCGAAATGCTGATGAGAAGTTGCATGTCCTTAATAAGGAATTGACTGCTAAGTATTCGACACAGGAAGAAGTTGGTCGTTTGGAAAGCGATTTTGAAAATGCGAAACAGAGGTATCAGACGTTGTTAGCCACCCTATGGGCGGGAACTATATGTGGCTATACATGTGTTACTTTCTTACAGAATGGCCGACTGGATCAGTCAGTTTGACGCTGAGCTTTTGGAGCTGAAACCTGTTTCCATCGATCATGATAAACTTAGTGAACAACGTAAAGATCAGCTTGCTTTAGTCGAGAAACATAAAGAAGGTAAACTCAGAGTCTCCTGGAGTTGAAGCTCTCGAATACTTACAGCTACCATTTAAGGTCTCAACCTACTAGAGGATTTGGAAGCGGTCTCAATGCGTTTGACTGAAGCAGAACGTGAAACTGGTAGCAATAGACTGAGCGTAACCCCTCGTATCACTATGGAGCTTGTGGCAAAGTGGGGAGAACTTGAGAGGTTGAAATTGATTAACTGCTAGTATTAAAAGTTTTTCTCCTAGGTACAATGCCCAAGCAGAAGCGCTGCGATCTCGTTTGGAAAGAATAAATGCTGCAGATCAGAAGGCGATTGAACTGCAAACCACAGAGAATGAGCTATCTGCTTGGATATCATCGCAAATGAAATCCCTGGTGTGTTTCTGTTTCTACTTCGGGGCTTCCGATTTTGGATCTAGTGGATCAGGTCCGACGGTTTAAGAGCCTAGTTCACGGTAGTCGGTTGGGCGGTGTTGGACCTACCACTGCGTTTCCAATGCCCCTCTTTTTCACCTCCTGACAGAGGTGTATGTGATCGGCGTGGATTTATGCGTTAAAGTGAGCACAGACTACCCAACAAAAGCGCAGCATTGACTAGGAAGGAGCAACATCGATACATGGTTTTTCAGTCGGAACACGATGTGCCGACATCAATCGACTCAGTGAATGCACTACTGGCTGCTTTGGACCGTATGTCAAAAGCGAAAAGGCAAGAGCAACGACGACTTGATGATGTAGGTTCTTCTTTTCTGATAACAAATGATCTCTTCATGTGGTAGATTCGCCATTAACCAATATTGGCTGTTCACTAATGCTGTAAAATTCTTTTATGCAACGGGTGCGGTTGAGCCAGGAGGGGGTGGGGGAAGGTGCGCATTTTGCTGATTCCCATCGATCACTGCCGATGCGTCCTGTGAAGACCTGTAAACTCCTGTAAAGCTATGCAACGAATGAGCTTCCTTCACACTTGACAGGTGTCTGTAGGCTTTACCAAGTTGAAACGTGTAACTCAACAACCAGTAAAAGAAACTAACAAAAGTGCAAAATATTTACCATCCCCCTTCCCTCTGCAAACCGAGCAAACGCCACGGAATATTGGTACCATGTTTCCTGGGATGTAGGGCACACGTTCGTCTCGAACGCCACGAATGCTTTCTGTGATTGTATTTTGTTTCTGTGTTTTTTCTTTGATCTCATGGCAGAGTTCGGGGGGAGGGGGCATTTTGCCTTTTCGATGCTTCACTACTTCCGGTTTATAGGTCTCATTTTGATCGTACAACATGTGAAACTTGCCCCCCCCCCTTTCACATCTCCGTCGCCGAACTATGCCGTTTTTACTTATGTGAATGATCTACATATACTTAACATAGAATAGAACATAGAACTTAACATAGAAGGGTTTGGAAAGCAATTAAAAGAAAAAAAACAGCAGCTGAAGCGCGCTGTCACGCTAGCTCCGTGGACCTTGCGGCTAAATACGCCCTATATCTCCGAAATTACGGTAATACTATGTGTAAATGGTATGAATTTCCAGGACCCCTAGACTAACCGTGCTTTCTTTACTTCAAGCGGCCTGTGTAACGTACCTGGGAAACACAGTAACAGTCAGGATGCATTTTAAGATTCGTTTGCGTGGTCGCGAACTGGCAGCCGATGCACGATTGGCAGGAGAGGGTGAGCAGTTGCTTGAGCGCCATAAGGCCCTTTCGGAGAAATGGGACCAACTAGCGGACCTCATGGAAGGTGCGTATCAAAAGAATTTTCATGTTGCCGCTTAACTTCTTTTCCACTCCTTTTTTCCTCATCT